GTTCTCCTGAAGTTACCCTGAAGGGTGGGGGCAGTTTGACTTTAACTCAGACCTTTAGAGACTCATGTGTAGAGGACAGGCTGCCAGCCCTTCAGTGGGGTTCATCTTGCTTCTGTTTCTGAAAGCATCGGGGCTGTCAAAACAAACATTCTGTTCTGAAATGTAAGTTTGGAAAGGGCTCAAGCTCTTACCCAAATAGCTAACTGCTTTCTTAAAGGGCCAGAAGGCAGGGTGACATCTTGAAGAAGAGTGACAGAGCTGGAGTCAGGCTTTGCCCCCTTGCTGTGTGACCTTGGGCAAGTCACCACCTCTCCCTGAGCCTCAGTTTCCTGCTGTGAAAAATGAAGGAGTTGGATCCAATGACCTCAGAAGCCCCTTCCCGGTCTACATCTCTGATCCTTGATTTGCAACCTGACGTCATTTCCCTTCCCTCAACTTGAGTTTCCTCATCTGTTAAACAAGGGGGTTGGCCTGGGTTCTAAATCTATTACCCCCAATTCTACTCCAATAGTCACGCATACTTTTTAACCCTTCTCTCAGAAGCTCCCTTTGTTCTAAACCAAAAACTCAGTTTCAGAGTTGGGAGGTGCTTCAGAATGACCAAGAACCCATTCTATTATAGCCCCAACATGTGGTTAGGAAGGTTTGTTTAAAGGCTCCCAGTGAGCAGGAGCCCTCTGTCTCCCAGGTCATCTCGTTGTGCTTTGGGGGAGCTTGGGTTGTTGGGTCATTTATCCTTACATCAAACCTCAGTTTATCTCTTTGTTATTTCCACCCAGTGTATCTAATTCTGTCCTCTGGGGCCATGCGGAATAAACCAATCCCATTTCTAGGTCATAATCCTTAAACACTGGAAGACAGCTCTCACATTCCCCCCTGAGTCTTCAGGCTAACTTCCCCAGCTCCTTCAATTGAGTCTTAAACAGGATCACAAGACCCTTCACCCCTCTAGTCTCCCTCCTCTGGAAGCTTTCTGGCTCATCAAAGTACTTCCTAAAGTGTGTCTTACAAAACTGAATATAATTGTCATGGTGCAGTCAGACCAGGGCAGAGTACTGTGAAACTAGGGCTGAGCTCTGGACAATCGTGCCTCTCAATGCAGCCTAAGATGGTGTCAGCTTTCTTGGCTGCCATATACATACAGTGTCAGCTTTCTTGGCTGCCATATCGTACAGTTGATTCATATTGAGCTAACAGGTCACTAAAACTCCTAGATCTTTTCCCCACAAACTGATGTCTCTCCATGCCTCCACCATCTTGGACTTGTGAAGTTGATTTTTTGGATCCAAGTGTAAGACTTTACATTTATCTCTTACATTTCACCGATTCCCATTTCTGTAACGGTATGGGGAAAAGATGAGAAAAGAGTATACCTATTTTATAGTGGAGGAAAGTAGTGAGTATGATCGAGGTCACATACTGATATAAAGATATTTATAATAGTGAATGAACCAGGAATAAAAAGGTTACAGTTAGGTAGACTTTACAGTTTACAAAACACTGTTCTCATAACTCTGTAGGGGAGGTCATGTAACTTATTTTTCCCCATTTTGCACATGAGGGAGCAGAGAAGGAAAGTGATTTGCCTAAGGTCACACAGGTAGTAAGTAATAGAAATGGGGGTTGAATTGGGTCCTTCTGATTCCAAATGTCTACCATACCACCAGGAGAAGGTATTCTTAGGGTGCTAAGGTAGAGAAGGGCCCTACAATTACATTCTCTCTAAGGGAGTGCCATAGTCTATATTAGGACCCAATAACAGTGAGATCAGTAACACTGATAGGACAAGGTAGAGAGTCATTTACCTGGCCAGGACTGCAGTCTGGGAAGTGGCATTTGGAGTGTTTCTGAGGCAACGCATGGCATTTTGCACTGAAGCACTCTTCAGGTATAAAGGGGATTTCAGGCTCCCAGGTCTGGTGAGGACTCCTATTGCTGGCAGTAATGACTTCTGGGATCATGGTTTAGATTGTAGACTTTGAAAGTCATTGAGCCCAACCCCCTAATTTTATAAATAAACAACCTGAAGTCCATGGTCACCCAGCTAGTAAGTATTTGAGGTCAGAGTTGAACTCAGGTCCTCCTGACTCCAAATCTATGTTCTATCCATTACACCAAGGGGACTTGATGGGCCCTTTCTCCTGGGGCCTGGTCCTGTTTGAAAGAAGTCAGACCCCAGAAGCTACTCCCCTTTTCCCCCTGGCTGTTCTGCAGTTGGAGTCTGAGGCTCATACTTAGCAACGATCAGGAAATGACCAAGGGTTCCGCTGGGAAACTGAAACAAGGCAAGGGAAACTCCTCCCTCTGATCAAAAAAAGAATAAGAAAAAAACTGGATCTAGAAAGTCCACAGAAATGTAAAGTGGAAAGTGATACACACCTCAAACTTCCAACCTGGTTTTGTGTCAGGCAACAGCAGAAGGAGGCCAGGAGCGAGATGCAGAAGCTGTCCTCAAAGGGTCTCATGTGGGAAGGCAGCCCCCTTCCATTCTTCACAAAGCCCAGCTCGGGGAGGGAAGGGCCCAATGGCCTAGCACACAGGTGAAGAAGTGAGGCGTGGCCCAGAGAGAGTCTGAGGGTCAAAGACCACCCCTGGTTCCTTCCTATGTGACCATGGTCAAATCCTTTCACCTCCCTAGGGGACAATTTTTCAGCTGTAAATGAGGGGGTTAGAATATCTGGCCTCTGAGATCTACCCCTAGAGATAGACTGCTGAACTTGAGATGAGGAAGACCCGAGTTCCAATCTCATCTCAGACACTTACTAGCTGTGTGACCTTGGGCCACTCCCTTACCTCTAAAGCTAAGTTCTCCCATCTGTAAATGTCAATGATACCAGCACCTACCTTAGAGGGGTCACTCCCTTACCTCTAAAGCTAAGTTCTCCCATCTGTAAATGTCAATGATACCAGCACCTACCTTAGAGGGGTATTTGTTGTGAAGATGAAATGAGATAAAATATACAACACACTTTAAATACCATATAAATGCTATTATTATTACGTGCTGTAGAAGTGGTGGGGGTGTTCTCTCCTGACCCTCTCCAGACTTGATTGCACATTCCACTGGGTTCCAGGTATTCCCTGAACTCAGTCACCCCTCAGACTTCTGCCTTTGTGTACTGTCCTTGGTGCCTGAAAGGTCCCTTCTCACCGCATCCTCTTGGAATCATCAGCTTCTTAGAAGCCTTTCATTGTTAGAGTGCCTTCCCCTCCTTACACCTCTGGTTACACCTTGTGGAGAGGTAGCATGGAAGCTCCTGGGGGCAGATGCCAGTTTTGGGGGGATTTTGGTCATGTCTGAATCCCCAGTGCCTAGTGTAGTCCCTTGCTCAATAAATATGTGTTGAATTGTAACTGGGCCAGATAGGTGGTGCAGTGGATAGGGCGCAGGGCATGGAGTCGGGAAGGCTTATCTTTCTGAGTTCAAATCCAGCCTCAGACACTTGCTAGCTGTGTGACCCTGAGCAAGTCACTTTACCCTGTTTGCCCCAGTTTCCTCATCTGTAAAATGAACCAGAGAAGAAAATGGCAAACCACTCCAGTATCTTCACCAAGAAATGGAGTCACAAAGAGTTGGATATGACTCAGCAGCAACAATAATTGTAGTCTCATAGCAAATCAGCTAAAGGGCTGACTTTCAAACATGGGTGCTCTTGACCATCTGCTTATTCCAGGCCCCAACGGAAGAAGTGGCTAGCTAGACAAGAGGAACAGACCAGCAAGGATTGGTCAAGGGTGAAGGTGGAATCCAACTTTATATTGGATCAGGCTCAGAAGAAACTTCAACTTGGGTGGAAGACCTGAAGGAATTCCCAGGGGTCTCATAGTCCTTGACTAGAGCCTGACCAGTGAATCCAGCAAAGTGGTCACATTATTCCTTCTGGACTCCTTGGTGTGGATGCATGGGAGGAAACACGGAGGGGGCAAACTGAGTCTACGAGATGAGAAACAATTTGTCCAGAGCCTCACAACTCATAGGTCAGAACACAATTTCATAGGATTTTTAAGAGTCTTAAGGAGCTTAAGAGTTCCAGCTAAGGTCTGGAGGAGGTAAATGCCTCACCCAAAGTCACCATGGTAGGAAGGAGGAGAGTGGGGATTGGATACCATTTCTCCTAACTCCCAACTCAGTGCTCTTGCCTATGCAAGTCAACAAGAACTTTTTAAGTGCCCACTATGTACACGGCACCTGAGCTACAAAGATAAAACTGACACAGACCCTGCCCCAAATCAATCTCATATAGGTGGTGGCCCCTGAGTTGTGCTTTGAAGGCAGCTACAGATTCAACAAGCTGCAGGATGGGGGGTGGGGGATGCATTCCAGACATGGAGACAGGGAGGTAGGAGGGAGGGAACCTACTATGGGGAACAACTAGAAGCCAGCTTTATATTGCAACACAATTAGATGTTTTTCAGTACTTACTATTCATTTTGTGTTTATTATGCATGATGATAATGTTACATCTCCAGTTTTCCCACCTTATCAAGGGTTAGCAGGAGTTTTCAGTTTGGACTGGACACTTTAGATCTGGAAGGGACCTTTAGTCCAACCCCTTCATTTTATGGAGGAGGAAACTGGGGCTCAGAGAGATAAAAGGACTTACTTAAGGTCACATAACTAGTGAACGGTAGAGTTAGGATGTTAGGATTTGAATCCAGACCTCTCAATCCCAAGTTCTGCCTTTCTGATGCCACGGTCAGTGTGCATCACTGTTCCGTGGGTGCCTTTCTCCAAATAGGAAACAGGCTAGATCATTGTTGAAGCAAATGTAAACAAACTCTCATTAATGCTACTCTGAGAATGGAAAAAAAAATTTTTTTTTGAACAGGCAGACAATTTGCAAATAGCAAAACTTTCTAATAAGTGTCCCGGGGGAGTCCGGAGCAGTTTCATAATGGGCAAAAATTGTTCTTTGACTTCTCTCTCTCTCTTTTTTTTAATGTGGATATCATTCTACTTGTTCAGGAAACTGTGACGTCAGCTCTTTCTGGGAAGGGGTGGAGGATTCAGAACCTGCTTTTAGCTACTAAGAGCTCTCAACTACGTTTCCCAATTGAGACGCTCGGTGGAGGCTGGAGCTGGTCACCATGCAGCATCCATGGACGCATACCCAGAGGATACTCCTGGCTCTGTCTCTCTTGCTCTTTCTGGAACCCTTCGTCCAAGGTAAGGCTCGCTTGTGTTTCAACCTAAGCTGTGGGCCAGGCAGCCCAGCACCAAGTCTTTATTTTAAAAACTAAAACTGATAACCGTGGGGGAGGCATCTGGGATGATGGAACACCCTGGTAGACTGGGCTTTTTCTGACTCCTACACAACCATCAATCTGAGCTGGAAAGGACCTTAGGGATCAGTTAGTCAACCCCTTCATTTTACAAAGAGGGAGACTGAGTCTCAGAGAGAGGCGAAGACTTGTCCAAAGTCGCACAGTGAGTAGGCAGCAGAGCTAAGACTCAAACCTTCATTCCAAATTCAAGGAAAAGTTAATCTCTCATAGTGGGTGTCGTCTCTCCCACCCTTCTGAGGGCAGCAATGTGTTATTTTGCCTTTGCCCATTCTTGATACATACAAATGTGTGCAAAAATAAGGGGCAGGTGTTTGATTGTGTCTTTTAGCTAGTTGAAAATGGGGACCCTGTGCTAAAGTCACACTCTGGTGCCTTATTCTGGTAGAGAGAGGGCTCTGCATTCTCTAAGGCCATACAGGCAAAGATCAAACTCTGGAGGGTCCTTCCAACTGGAAAGACTTCAAAAAAGGCTTGTGAAGGGCTGTGTCTATCATCTTGGGATCAACTAAGCTAAATGAAGGGAAACTGAGTCTGGAAGCAAGGCGATGTTTTTTTTTCAGCCGGTGAGATGTGTGAAGACCACCTCCGAAGTGACAGAGGGTTGTGACCTGAATGGGTGAAAGGTGTGTCTACACCAGAAAAACCAACAGCCTCAGAATACTGAAGCATAGCATGAAAAGCTATGTAGCTTAATGGATAGAGTGTTGGGTTTATGTGCCGAGTCTGACTCTAGCTTAGAGAGCCTTTCAGTGAGTGCCCACAGCCACTGACTCTAAGACAGGGGATCTTAGGTAGTATGGGGTAATCCCTTCTTCAAATACTGTGATTTAATGCATAAAATGCATAGGTTTACAAGGGAAACCAATTATATTGAATATGGGATGGGGAGGTTTGTGGTTTTTTTTTTTTTAAAGTTCATGGACCTCAGGTTAAGAACCCTCCTCTAAGACTATACAGATGAGACGGTGATCTGTATCAGTAAAGGAAGTGTCCGTACTAGGAGTTCCCCACATTGAATAAAATCATAAATCTAGTCTTCCCCTCCTACAAATAAAAAAAATGCAGAGATAGGATCAATAGCTTAGGAGCTGAAAGGAACCTTGGAGACCAGCCCAACGTCTTAATTTTACAGATGGGGAAATTGAGGTGCTAGAAGTATTTGAAGTGGGATTAGAACCCAGATCTTCCCAACTTCCAATCCAGCTTTATTTCTTCATGTGGGTTGACATACTGGGTCAAAGTTTTAAGATACTATGACAGTGCTATCTTCTCACTTAATCAGACCTGAAGTACTGCCAGCTTGTTTCTTTAAAGGAAAAAGGTTTAGCAAAGCTGAATTTTGTGTTTACTTGATTCTATTTTTAAATTGGCCAGTTAGGATCAGGAAAGGGAAACTCTTCTGTGAGATATGTAATTATTCACCTGAATTTCACAGCAAGATGGTCAGAGAGAAATCTAACAACTCTCTGGTCACCTAAAGGCAGGACAGTTTAAAGAAGATATCCTGGTTCTATGGAAGGAGCCTACGATGTCTGGGGCTGAGGAACACCTGAGCTCAGGTCTCGTCTCTTCCCTGCCCTGCACTTACTACCCTGAGTGATACTGGGGGAATAATTTCACCTCTTCCCGCTTCAGTCGCATCCATCTGACAGCGGTAATTGTGATCCTCCTGTACTCTCCTGGGTAATTTAGTGATAGGTGACCTCGTTTAGCCAATGCTAAACAAGAAAGAGTTTAATAAGAAGGACCTTTGAACAATAAGCTCCTTAGGAAGGGTCCTTTTTCCTTGGGGAAGGAAGAAGAGGTAAGAAGATGGACCAGTTGATGGGGGGACAAATTTATAGGGGGTCAGCACCTTAAAGGAAACATCAATTCACTATGACACAGATGTCTTGGGTTTGTATCTTAGAAATGACTTCTGTGCGTCATACTCTGGGCTTCCGGTGGAGACACAATGTTATTCTCAGTTGCGGTTGATGTTTTAGAACACGCTAATCTTCCCTCCTTCTTATTTGGGAGGTTAAAGGCATGCCGGCTGGTTGTGCTCACATAGAAGATTTTAAAATTTCCGGGTTGTTGGATCCCTTGGTTTAATTAATTTTTAAATCAACACGACTGCTATTGTTATCCTCATTTTCCAAATGAGGAAACTGAGACCCAAAGTTCAGTGACTTGCCCAGAGTTACCCAACTTGCAAGTATCAAAGGCAGAATTCGAACCCAGGTTTTCCTGACTCTGAGTCCAGCACTTTATCTTTTCACTCTGCTATGCTATCTGTAATTATAAAGAAAAAAATATATATAAGACAAAGTCTAAGCTAATAAATTATCTAGACCAGGGTTCTTTCCCTTTTTGTGTGTCTTGGACCCCTTTTAGAAGCCTGGTGAAATGTATGGACCCCTTTTCAATATCATATTTTTAAATAATTGAAGGAAATACTAAATTTCAGTTAGAGTAGTGAAAATCAAATATTGGGTTTTTTTTCCCCACCCAAATTCATAGACCCTCTGACATCTCTCCACGGACATTGGGTAAAGGACTCTTGATCTAGACCTTTAGTTTTAGAGAAGAATAACTCAGATGATAAGACACAAACCTGCCAAGGTAGTCTGAGGAAGAGACCATGAGAGAAAGGGCTTATCCAGTGTGTCTTAGGTACTTTTGTATCTAGCAGGGTGCTATGCACAAAGTAGGCACCTGATAAGTATTAGTAAACAAACTTGACCTGGGCAAAGATTTGAGAAATTGAACCTCCCTCACTTTGCTACAGAGGTGGAGGGACAATGGGTATGGAATAATGCATGTGTAGCCTCTGTTATCCTTGTTACACCTGAAGGCTCTCTGGGTAGGGAGGAAGGAGCAACATTTTGGGAAATGAATTCAGTATTAAAAAAAAAACCCTGCATCACTCAAAATAAGATTTTTTTTTTCAAAAATGTTAACTTGTTGTTGGGACATTGAATTAATGAACAAATATCTGTATTTCTGATTCACATTTCAGCACAATTTGGGGCTGTTTCTGTTTTCAGAATTTCATGAACATGTTACATTTCCCACTAAGGGTCCATGTGATTTTTTTAATGGCGTTCATTCTCATTATTGAATGTGGTATTTTAGATGTGTGGGTCTGAGAGAGAAATCAACATAATTTCAGTAAACCAACTTGGAATTATTTAATAAACCCCCCCAGGGGAAAAATTCCCTCAGAGAGATGACCACATCTAGATAGAGTATTATGTTTGGTTCCCAGTATTGCATTTCAAGAAGGACATTGATAGGGGCAGCTAGGTGGCGCATTAGATAGAGCTCAGGCCTTGGAGTCAGGAGTACCTGAGTTCAAATCCGATCTCATACACTTGATACTTGCTAGCTGTGTGACCCTGGGCAAGTCACTTAACCCTGACTGCCTCGCAAAAAAAAAAAAAGGACATTGATGAATTGGAGAGCATCCTAAAGAAGAGAACCTGGCTGAAGAATGGACTCTCCATAAGAGGACCAGTTGAACTGGGAACACTTAGCCTGGAAAACAGGAGACTTTGCTGGGGACATGAGAGCTGTCTTCAAGTATTTGAAGGGTTTGGGCTTGCTGGCCCCAGAGGGAAGAACTCGAAGCACCAGGTAGAATTAGGCAGGAAACACTTCCAGACAATTAATCCTATCCCAAAGTGGGAATACCTGGGTTGCTTTGAGAGACAGTGAGTTCCTCATCATGGATGTCTCTAAGTAAGAGTTGGGTAGTTCTGGTTTGGGCGCAGGTTGGAGAAATGGTCCCTCAGGTCCCTTCTGTCTCCAAGATTCTAGGAAAAAGGTAATTGGTGGGTACAAAATGGAATCAGCTCTAAGCGAAGAAAGTCCCTAGAATTTGAGACAAGGTCATGCTCTAAAACTGAAGCTAATGGAAACTAGCAAAAAGTAGAGAAGATTAGTCAGCTCTAGGAATAACTCAGCTGTCAATGTGTTAATAATGGGATTGTGGTACTTTCTCCAAAAAATCCCATCAGGGAAATACCCTTGTTAAACTTGTTTTTGTTCAGTCATGTCTGACTCTATGTGACCCCCATGGACAAAGTTTTCTTGGCAAAGATACTGGAGTGGTTTGCCATTTCCTTCTCCAGTGTTCCCCCTTTTACAGATAAAGAACCGAGGCAAATAGGGGTTGACTTGCCCAGGGTCACACAGCTAAGTAAGTATCTAAGGCTGGATTTGAACTCAGATCTTCCCTACACCAGGCTGGTGCTCTGTCCACTACACCACCTAGCTGCCACTTTTGACAGATGTAAAAGAAACTGTAATTTAATGAATTTACGAGCTTATCTTAAGCTACAACAGAAGGGGTCTAGACTAAGGAGAGCGAAAAAAATAAGAATTTGTTCCTGTAGGTACAATGATCATTTCTAAGCTAATGACTTCCAGATCTACATGTACAGCCCAAGCCTCTCTCCTGAGCTCCAGGTCCGTATCACCAACTGCCACCTTAGTCAACCTTAGTGGATGCCTCACTAGCAACCTTGACTTACCCAGAATGGCCCTCAGCATCTTTCTGTCCAAACCTCCCCTCTTCCTGTTATTGTAGAGGGCACCACCATCCTTTTAAATGCTTACTCTCGAAGCCTCATTGTCATTCTTGATCCCTCAGGCTCACCTCACATAGCCAATCTATTGCCAAATTTTGTTGCTTCTACCTTCACGACGTCTTTCCTATAGGTCCCCTTCTCTCCACTCATGTAACTACAGCTCTAGCTCAGCCTATCATCTCCTCTCACTAGATCATTGAAATAGCCTTCTGATTCATCTTCCTGTCCTCAAGTCTCTCCCCACTCCAGTCCATCCTATGGTTGGGAACCACTGATTAAACATTAAACTTTGTCTTCTTCTCATCAA